AGTCATTTTTGAAGTACTTGAAGAGAGATGATTAAGTGTCGCCCATAGCCGTTCGATAGCTTCACCATCGGTCCGACCAACCCCCTTGAGATAATTGAGGGAGAACTTGACACGGCAGCTATCCTTGTGTGCCGGGCAATGGAATTTCGGGATAGCAAAACAGATATCACAGTCCGGTAAGAAAAGAAACTCAGGATTATTGGCGACGCGTTTCTGGAAGTTCTTTGAAAACTGGCACGCTATGTCGTATGACACAACAAATTCATTGAGGTTTTGCATCCGGTTGAATGCGCTTGATAGGGCATAGTCGGCATATGCAAATCTGTATCCAAAGATTAGTCAATAAAAACGAGAAACGTCGTACTAACCTTTCACCCTGAAACATGTCTACGAAGCTCCCAGGGATAGCGCATTCGTGCCTGCATACAGCACCGGCAACTCCGGTAACATTTAAACGGGCAAAACGAGATCGAGGAAGTAGCAACGCTCTCAAGTTTGTGCAGGTTGATGCCTATTTAGCGAAATCAGACTTCTTGCAGACGTTGCTAAGAACAAGTTACCGATTGCTGTGACTTAGCAGAAGGAAGCAACCCGCAATAGGCTTGGTAACGTTTGTTCTCAACAAAAAAGCCATCTTCTTTCCATAGACCTGGGTCTTTATGCATCCCCATGGTCCTACGCTCAGAGAAGAGGCGAAAGTTCGCGTCAATATGAAGAAACTGACGTGTGAGCCACCTGTGATGTTGTTAGCAACGTCAGATACAGGGAATTATCTCACCTTTCGTCATCCAGAGTCCCATCCCCTTCTTCCTTCAGTGGAATGTTCTTGCCGGGGTGAGGGCATGCTGGACAGGGTGAAGCAAGCGAGTTCACATCCATGCACTGTGATTTTTTGCGTTCGAGCACGTAATTCCACTGACGTGCCACACGCTGAAATTCTCGCGCTCTGTCCTAGTGAATTTCAGATTTCATTTCTCAAAGGTTATCGTAGATACTATGCCTACCTTCACTTCCCAAGCACCCTTGTATTCATCCCCTGTCAACCGTTCGAGGGCTTGCGTGAATGCATGAGAGCTTATTTGACCCTCTAGATGGATTATTCTGAAGTAGTTTAAAGCCTCGAAGGTAAACGCTGTTCTGGGAGACTGCACGCTGGCTGGGAAGAGACGGAGTTGAAGAAGTTGAAGGTCAAATGATAAGCTTCCAGGGCATATGCACTGATTGACGCAGAGCTGATGGAAGCCGTTTGAGTGTATAACCGTGAAGTTTGGGCGACGCTTTTGCCGGCAGCAGGGAGTGCCATCACGATGGGGGATTGACAGCTCTAGTCCAAGTGATGCACAGCTAGCACCTTCAAAGAAAGATCCGGTCCATTTAAGGATCCTATGGAAAGGATTTGGTATATGTATCTTTACGATACATGTGATGCATACCGGACGCAGCAATACACAGGAGTTGCATGTGTAAATTGCAGACAGCTGCTGGTTGCACACACAGGATTGAGTCCCATTAAAGCCCTCATAATCATAAAGGACGTCCAGATATGCCTGCTCCTTGCCTCTCCATTCGTCGAGAATATCATGTTGCATCTGAAAAGTCACATAAGGTATAGAATTTGATGTTACGCTGTATACTCACCTTAGTCTTGGTGATATTGACCACTGTGGACTCTTCTGACTCTAATAGAGCGCATTCCACCTTGGGGAGACTCTCCGCAAGTTCGGCCAGCGCGACAGTGGGGTCTGGAACCAATGCTGGCGCAGGGTGTATGGGATCTGGTAGCTGCTTTGGGGCTTTCAATGACTCAATGTATTCGACGATAGTCGGTAAATCCGTAGAATCCGTCAAATTTGAGATCTTTTTTCGTTTGTTCCTGCTGGAATGGATCTCAAGGCGTTGTCCCATCGTTGTGACAAAGTGAGGTCGTTTAGGAGGCATAATGATAGACAATGAGGAGACGTCGTTGAGTGCAACAGGTACGACAGGAAGAATTGAGGCAATGTCGATGTTGCCACATCCCAGCAACCCATCGATCTTGCACGAGGACGGACATTGTCCATCGTAAAACTGCTTGAATTGAGACCAATGTTCCTGAAGACGGAATCATGCATGTATTTTAACGAGGGGTGATTTAACGGGATCGCGCCACTGATTGTGGTGGTGCGGAGAAGAGCGGCACAGCAGCGTCACACTGGTGGGTGCTCACAGCATAGACGCAAATCCCAAAATGTACGCAATAATGCCAATATATTGTAAATGAGACGTATTTAACAAAAAAAGCTATATCAATGAATATACTACCGAATTCCGTCGATCTTTATATCCAGGATATGGCTCAGTCAGCGCGATGATACTGCTCGTACAATTCCATGAACCGCTTAGTATTTGACGGATCGAGTAGGGCCCGAACGGCCAGCAGCATGTTGTCATAATCCGCGGGCTCGAGGCAGAAGGCTTTCACGAGCTCCTTGCAAAGTCGTGAACTGATCCCAATCTCGGCAAGCATGTATATCAACGCATCGAGCAGGTTGTTCAGTTCAGGTTGTTCATTGTGAGCTCTAGAGGGATTTGGTGCTCCAGAGTAGCCGGACAAAACTTGGGTGGATGATGATGGTGTGGGTGGTGGGTCGGTGAGTCGTGAGGATGAGCGGATGGAATACAGGGGAGCTTGTGGGATGAGCGCCGGGTCGGTGATACGTGAGGATGAGCGGATAGGACACAGGGGAGCTCGTGGGACAGTGGCCGGAAGATGGGGTGGGCCATCTTGCTCGATTGCATGATGGTAAGGCGGGGGATTGTTTTGCGGTGTAGCCTGTTCATAATGTCAGAAATTAGCAATAACGGAGCACAATGATTTTACCTGCTGAATGGCGGCCTGTATTGCTGTCTCCATCGCAAGGAAGCCCGGGCTCAGAGACAACTTATCGGATGCCCATGTTTCAAGTACGGAGAGTGGTTGACCCCTCCTGTGAAATGCAACGACGACTTCGACATCATGAAGTGACGCAAACGTCGCGACCTATGGAAGGGGAGGTTAAGCGTTACAGAGAGTACACGTTCAATTATACTCACATGATCTTTGATGCCAAGCCACCATCGTCGTTCAGAATATTCTCTGTTGTTGGACCCCGGAATCATTGGAAAATTTGAGGCCCGTTGTGCCGCGGATCGAAAGTGGGAGCCATTGCATACGGTTGCGGTTGCAACTGCTGGTTGCATAAAGTATTCTCTCACTAGGTTACTCCTTGAGTTTAGATAATCAGGATCAACGCCATGCTGGGCGCAAAGCTGTCGCTTCAGACGTGTGTGAAACATCGTGTCTGCAAGCGTCGGTGCAGGACATTGCCCAAGCGCAATGTTGCCCCATATGGTGATTCGGTCGATGGGAGTGGACTGAGAAGAGGCAGGGGGTTGTGTAACGTTGCCTGAGCCGAACATGGGGGGGAACAAGTTGGTTATTCGTGTTTGCCCCAAGAAGAGTCTAGCTCATGTAAATTCGTCTAGTAGTCACAAATAATGCTGAAAAAACGGAGGAAATCAGCGAGCATTCAGCAGATAAGACATAGACAGCGTTGGGGATGGACAGCACAGAGAACGTTGCAGAACGCTGAACACGTGCAACGATGAGCGCAGCAGTGCGCGCGTGATGATAGCTGTCAATATCAGGGGTGGTGCATTCCTTGAGTAGCCGCTGTGGTGCCCACCCCCAAAGCAATCGACAGCCCGGCGCTTCGGCGGACTAACAAAGTGTGCAATTGCCGGGCTATGCAGATGACGGATATTATGAATCGATAAGTTATATTATAAAATATATCAAATCTGCGATATATCTAATAATACGACGATGACAGCAGGGCACACGGGCTGGAATGCATCGACACCGCTAGTCGACGATTGTGCGGTGCTGCAGCATCCATGGCCAGCGTGAGGGTGCCTGGCTGCGCGATCCGGATGAACAAGGATGTGATTGATATCCCCTAAGGAGCTCTCTAAAGCTTATTTAATTATCGTCTAGCTGTTATTCTACTGCCAGACTGAATGCGTCGAAGCAGCCGGTCGACGGGTGCGGAGTGCTGTCGATCTGGCAGCGCTGCACAAG